AAATGTAGGTTTGTTCTTAAGTTAAATTTATTTTTAAGTTGAAACAGGTACATTTTTAAGTGTAACTGCAGATATATATATATAGATACACACACACACACACACACACATACATGCAAGCTTTGGATAGTATAGGGAAGAGTTAACACCCCTGTGGTGTTTGTTTTGTTGTCTGTGCCCCTGTTCAGAAGACTTCATCTCACTTTGGATTTTGAAAAAAATTGGCTTGTTGTGGAAACAAGGATTGGTGCTAAAGCTTCAATGGAGACACCTTTTCCCCATGAACACTCTTCTAGGAGTGATTTTCCCTTTCAAAGGGAAGATTTCTCTCACTTCCTGTTGTCTCAGCCCTGTTCTTAACTTCCTGTTGTCTCAGCCCTGTTGTTCGTAAGTCAGAAGTTTGTAACTGAGGGACTGCCTGTACTGTATTTCAGTGAGATTTGATAACTATGCTTTCAAATTATTTTGGGTCATATATTACTGCAAATATAACTAAGGACCAACTGGTATGTTTAATTCTTCCCAACAGCCTGATTCAGAAGTGGCTGATGCTGGCATGAAATTGGAAGCATACTTTGAAGAACTTCTGAAGAATATTTTTCCAAACATAACATTTCCTGTTCAGCCTTACTTCCGTGCTAATAGAGACAGTCCAAACTTATCAGGTGATTCAGATGACGACTTTGTGCAGCCCCGCAAAAAACGCCTCAAATGGGAAGAGCGACATTTTTTAAAATGAACTGGTTCTATCTCCTGTTAAGGATTTTTTTACCTAGATATTTATCAGCATTTGTTTTCTGGACTGTTTTAAGACCATTGACTTCTACAGATGTGGATATTTTCTGCAGGTTCCGTCTTCCCAGCGTGGCACAAATTTATCAAGCAATGAGGCATATAGGTGGCATTAGAAAACTTTCTATCAATTTTATCAGTGTTTTGGAAGTTCATTGTATTTTAATTCCAGAGTGTCAACTGTTCAACTCTTTTATTATGAAAGGATTTGTACACACATAAGAATGGGAAAATAAATTAAATTTGGAAAAACATTTAATGTGTGGCTCTTACTGTTTTAAAAACTATAAGATCTCATTCAAAAAGCCATGTGACTGGCCATAGTTTTCATTCTTTGTACTGTATATGACCATTAGCCCCTGAAGAGAGAAAAAACACATGGCTTGATATTGTCCTAGGATCTGGACTGGTACAGTCAGAGGGTTGCTACCTCCTCAGTGCTACTTGTGTTCTAAAATGTAAGCAGGTGAGGAGATTAATTAAAATACTTTGAAAAATTGTGTTTAAGTGTATTATTGTGCACATAGGAAAATAAATCATTTATTTTATTTTGATTCCCTAGTTTGATTCCCCCTGGTGGTGCAACGGGTTAATAATAATAATAATAATAAACTTTATTTGTACCCCGCTACCATCTCCCCAAGGGACTCGGTGCGGCTTACATCAGTAACACAACCTTAATAAACAATCAATAAAATACAAATCATATAAATCACATAACAAAAACAACATCAATAATGACATATTAAAAACGGCCAGGCCAAATGTAATAGATTAAAATTGAGAATATGCTGACGTGAACAGGTAAAGTGTAACTAGGATAGGATTTTTCAGAGAGAAACAAGGGTATGCAATCCATCCTAAGTGCATTATGAGGGCGTATTGCTGAGAGTTCTCCTTATTCTGGGAAGGCACACTGGAACAACCACATTTTCAAGCTCCTCCTAAAGACTGCCAACGTTGGGGCATGTCTAATGTCCCTGGGAAGTGAATTCCAGAGTCGAGGGGCCACCACTGAGAAGGTCCTCTCCCTTGTCCCCACCAGTCGCGCCTGCGAGGGAGGTGGGAGTGTGAGCAGGGCCTCTCCAGATGATCGAAGAGATCGTGTGGGTACATACACAGAAATGCAGTCACGCAGGTACGCTGGTCCCAAACTGTTCAGGGCTTTGTAGGTAAGAACCTGAGGGTTGACCGCTCCCTGCAAGAAGCACCAGTTAGTAATCTGGCTGCCACCCGTTGTACCAATTGAAATTTCCTGGCCATTTTCAAGGGCAGCCCCACGTAGAGTGCATTACAGTAATCCAATCTGGAGGTGACCAAGGCATGGACCACCCTGGCCAGATCCGACTTCACGAGATACGGTCTCAGCTGGCGCACGAGTCTTAGTTGTGCGAAGACCTTCCTGGTTACCACCGACGCCTGAGCTTCAAGCGTAAGTGATGAGTCCAGGAGGACACCCAGACTGCTTGTTCCTTCTCATCCAGACAGACACAGCGGCCAGACACTCGTCCAGCACCTGAGGGGCTTCCTTGGAGTTAGGTGGAAAAGAGTAGTAGAGTTGCATGTCATCCGCATAGAGATGGCACCCAACTCCAAAACTCTGGATGACCTCTCCCAGCGGTTTCATGTAGATGTTGAAAAGCATGGGGGACAGAATGGAACCTTGCAGGACCCCACAGGTCAAAGGCCAGGGGTCCGAGCAGGTGTCTCCCAGCTTCACCATCTGGGAACGAACCTCCAGGAAGGACCAGAGCCATGACAGAGCCGCACCTCCAAGGCCCATCCCGGAGAGCCGACCAATAAGGATACAATGGTCGATGGTATCGAAAGCCGCTGAGATGTCCAAGAGAACCAGGAGGGTTACACTCCCCTGTCCAGTTCCCTGTGGAGGTCATCCACAAAAGGCAACGAAAGCTGTCTCAGTACCGTGACCAGGCTTGAAACCAGACTGACTGATCCAGGTAGTTGATGTCATCCAGGAAACCCTGGAGCTGAGAGGTGACCACCCACTCCAGCACCTTTCCTAAAAATGGGAGGTTGGAGATTGGTCTGTAGTTACTCAAGACCGTGGAGTCAAGGGAGGCTTTTTTCAGGAGTGGTCTAACCACAGCCTGTTTCAACCCATATGGAAAATTCCCTTGCTCCAACGATGCATTTATGGTCAATACAAACTAATCCATCAATCCACCTCTGGCCGATTTAATTAGCCAAGAAGGGCAAGGGTCCAGAGCCGACGTGGTCGCCCTCACAGCCCCAAGGATCCCCTCCACGTCTTCAGGATGAACAAGCCGAAAGGAATCCCACAAAACCAGACAATCAGATGCCTCAGTCACCTCTCCTGGCACTGTATTTAAGCTGGTGTCCAACTCGAGGCGTATCTGAGCGACTTTGTCTGCAAAATGGTGCGCGAACTCGCAGCACCGAGTTGTCGGGTCGTCAAAGACCTCCTCCAACCCAGGGGGGTGAAGAAGCTCCCCAATGACCCGAAACAACTCTGAAGATCTATTGGATGCAGATGCTATGCAGGCAGTCGTGAAGGTCTCCCTGGCTACCGGTATAGCCGCGGTATAGGCCTTAAGTGAGGCTCTAGCACGTGTTCGGTCAAAGACATCCCGAGATTTCCTCCAGACGCACTCTAGTTTCCTTCTCGAGCGCTTCATCACAGCCAACTCCCCAGTGAACCAAGGAGATGGCGTGTCTCTGCGCAACGAGAGGGGACGTTCGGGAGCGATCGTATTTATCACCACTGAGCTGGTGAACTTTCTGACCGAAAGGTTGGCGGTTCAGATCCGTGGGACGTGCTGAGCTCCCACTGTTAACTCCAGCTTCTGCCAACCTAGCAGTTCATAAACCTGCAAATGTTAGATCAGTAGGTACCACTTCTGTGGGAAGATAACTGCACTCCATGCAGACATGTTGGCCAGATGACCTTGGAGGTGTCTACAGACAACGCTGCCTATTTGGCGTAGAAATTGAGATGAGCACCACTACCCAGAGTTGACCACAACTAGACTTACCTTTTTACCTAGTTAATAATGCAAGCATTTAGGTAGTCTTAAGGTGCCCATAGAACTGTTCTGGTTGATTCCCACTCTTCCTATGCTATCTATCTCAAATAGCAAGAAATCGTCCATAGCATTTTAAAAAAAAAAAGAATGGGTAACTCGCCATCTTAAATTGGGTTTGGATTTTAATAAAATGGTCTAAAATCCCTGCTGTTGAAAATAAATGTGAAATTAAGGGTGATGAATCCCATCTTTCCTACTGATTTATTACCAAATAGCATATGTGAAAACGTTCATCAGCATGTATATCGGATTGGTATGAAAATATGCATTTAGATGGGCACTGGGTTTCATGGGAGAAAATAAGTGGATTTCAATCAAATATATTGTTGGGTGAGAAAAATCTGAACTTTCTCTTAAGAGAAACAGCTGGGCTGGGAGCTAATCTATTGAGACCTCCACCCCAACAGTGCTGCCAAATGAAATTTATTTCTTCAGTTGGAATTCACAGTAGTATCTCAAACAAAATAAGTTCCCAATTCTGATGAAGGTGTCAATAAGGTTACATTTGGCTCCAGCATGACGTTCTGTGGTGTCCCTGTTTTTCAGTTGTTTTCTGATGGCCACGGGCAAGAGAATTGACCTGTTACTGTTGAACTCACTGTGTTTTCTAACCGAATTAACAAGAAGATTGAAGAGAGGAATTCAGTGTATGTCTGCGTGCAGAATGCAGTGGGGTTATTCTGTATAGAATCAAGAATTGGAAGAGACTGTAATGACCATCTAGGTCCAATCCCCTCTTGGAGCAGTACCCAATTCAAACACTCCTGAAGACGGCCTCTGTGTATAGATCTCAAAAAAAAAAACTGCCCTGTGGGGCAGTTTTATTCCACTGTCAAAACTGTCCTTACTATCAAGAAGTTCCTCCTAATATCTCTGAATTAGCGGCATCAAAACTGTAGTGGCAAGTAGAGATTTTTTTTTTCCATTTCAGGACTGATTTGAGAATCTGCAAGTTTCTTCTGATGTGAGAGAATTAGCCGTCTGCAAAGATGTTGCCCAGGGGACGCCCAGATGTTTGAATGAAATATATAACAACAATTGAGCAAGCAACAATTTATTTGTGAAATGTTGGTAGTGCATCTTCTTAATCCATGTTTGGATACTTACATCACCAACTACTTCCTATGCTTCCAGCTAATTTCTGTGTAACAAACATTTCCTGTTTACTTTTATCTGATGTGAATAGCATATTGTTTTGAATGGAGACCAGACCTTGGACTCTAGTTACACAGCCTTCTAAACCCTGGTTAAACATGCTGCTGTGAAGGTATTTTTAAAAAATCTACCATCTGGAATTTCATTCTAGTTATTTAAGTTATGCAGAGGTTTCCATTTGAAGACATGAAAATACATCAGGTTTACACTACATTTTTTTAAAACACATACGGAGAAATACACAGTTGTCCTGTTGATGAACAGGGTCAAACTGGTGAGCTGCAATGGTATCTTGTAGATCTCTGCTTCCACTTCTTCATTTCATTTGCTAAAAGAAGGATTTCAAAAATGTTTTGAGAAATATGCATCAGTCTCCAGTCTGCTACCGAGCACAATTCAAAGTGCTGGCTTTAGCCTATAAAGCCCTGAAAGTTCCAGCCCAGCTTACCTGTCGGAAAGTATTTCCCACTATGAACCATTGCAAAGGTTAAGATCATCGGGGAGGTCCTGCTCTCGGTTCCACTATCCTTGCAAATGCGACTGGTGGGAACGCGAGACAGGGCCTTTCTCAGCGGTGGCCCCTTGTCTGGAACTCCCCAGTGACATCAAATCAGCCCCCTCCCCCCTCCAGACCTTTAGAGAAAATATGGTTGTGGGACCAAGCGTTCAAACAGTAGATGCAGCAATCAAGAATGAGATTGATTCTATGTGACTGGCCTGAACTGTGATTTTGAACTTGCGTGATTTTAAATGAATGTGTTAATAATAACTGTATTATTTGTAAATGATATTTTAAATCTGTGTGATGGCATCGAATGGCTGCCTGTTGTGAAGCTGTCCTGAGTCCCCCCTCGGAGGTGAGAAGGACGGAATACAAATATGCAAAATAAAAAAATAAATCAGTTTTGTAATGAAAAGGTAACAAAATTTATAATATTTGTTCTCCCCAACCTGCAAATAAAGAAGGGATTGTCTAAAGTGGGTAAACGGGAGGGAGCTTCAATATTTATTAGCTTAGAAAACAAATCTACTTTGTGACGAGACTTGCTCATTTAGGTAAAGAGGTTCCGCTATAATTGCTTGTCTCCAGATACTCTTAACAAAGCCATTAATGTAAGTTTAACCTTTCATCTGTATTTCCGCTGCATATCAGGCCAACCAAAGATGAATTAAAGCTTCATCGCAGCTTTGTGAAGAGACAATTGACCCCAAGTGGATTCTCAGATAGTATAAAGTGAAGCATGCAGAGGTCTAAGGAAGATTTAGATAGCACACAAGGGCTGGATTGCTTCAACAGAAAGAGTAGTTTTAATTGGTTGCATAACATATTTAATTGTAAATATATTTCTATTATTAGACTTGATTGGCCCAATACTTATCAACTGAGCTATGTAATAGCAGACAAAGCAGAGTTTTTCATATACCAAAACATCTTTAAAATTAAAGTCTGGGCCAAACTTATTTCATCCAGGCTGCACATGTTTTATACTGCTATTATTTAACTGCTTTTAAATGGTCTGTTTTAAAATTGGGGGAAATAACCTTTTAATGTATCTTTCAGCTAATTTTATTGGAAGCCCTGTTGAAATCTAATGAGTATAGGAACTGTTGTTAGCAGCTTTGGGTTTTTTCCCTTTCAGGTTATGTGACTACTGCAAGGGAGGCAGATAAAATCCACCAGTTCCAATTAACCTATTTTTACAATGCCTTATTCTTTGCTGCCTTTGCCTTCTTACTGTCTCTCTTTACACCCATGTATTTCCATTGGATTTGGGTCCTCCTCACTGTATTCCTTCAAGCAGATAAAGGAATTAAATGTAAGCTGATCACTCATGGGACCAAGATGGTTCCTTCAAAGTTCTTTTGCCTTTATAATAGTAGAATGAACTTTAGGGATTTTTCCCCCCTTGGTTCCACTCAGGACAGTAGCTTGAACCTGATCTTGCAATACTTGGGGCAAGTTACCAACCTGAAGTGCTCTCCCTTTGGTTTCAATGGGCAGAGTGAAAGCAGAGATGGCGCCTACAACACAAACTGAAGCAAAAAGGCAAAGAGCTCCCAGGAAAGAAGCATTCATAAGCACCTGCAAATAAAAAGGTATTATTAGGGTGACCATTTTACAAGATCCACAAAAATACATACTACATCATCCAACAGCTTGGGTTTTAGGAAGAACTTCCTAACTATGAGAGCTGTTCAGTAGTGGAACTCTGCCCCGGAGTGTGGTGGAGGCTCCTTCTTTGGAGGCTTTTAAACAGAGGCTGGATGGCCCTCTGTTGGGGGTGTTTTTAATGCAATTTTCCTACTTAGCAGGGGGTTGGATTGGATAGCCCACGAGGTCTCTTCTAACTCTATGATTCTATGTCTACTCTGGGCAATTAGTGCAGTGTGATACCACGTTAACTGCCATGAGTCAATGTGATGGAATTATGGATGCTGCCATTTTACGAGGTCTTTGGCTTTTTCTGCCAAAGAGTGCTGGTATGTCACCAGACTACAACTCTTGGGATTCCCTAGCACTGCGCTCATTGGAGTCAGTACTACAGTCTCATAGAATCATAGAATCAAAGAGTTGGAAGAGACCTCATGGGCCATCCAGTCCAACCCCCTGCCAAGAAGCAGGAATATTGCATTCAAATCACCCCTGACAGATGGCCATCCAGCCCCTGTTTAAAAGCTTCCAATGAAATAAAGATGGCTCTCAGGCAGCTTTCCAGGATACACCATTTTTATTCAAAGTCCTACAGGAAAACAAAGAAAGCCAGTCCTATGTGTTGTCAAAAGGCTTTCATGGCCAGAATAAATGGGGTTGCTGTGAGTTTTTCGGGATGTATGGACATGTTCCAGTAGCATTCTCTCTTGATCTATATAACTCCACTTATCTTGTTTCCAACAAACCTCTGAGGATGCCTGCCATAGACACAGGCAAAATGTCAGGAGAGAATTCTACTGGAACATGGCCAGACAGCTCGAAAAACTCACAACAATCCAAAGCCAGTGCTAACTCCCATGGCACTAATCCCCTTTAACATACCCCTGCCTACCTTTGAAGTAGCTGGTAACTCCGAGATGTTTATGTTCCCTCCAGTTCCGCAGACTAGTCTTGACAAAAGGACATTTCCTGGCCAAATCACCCCTATGCTACTTTTATTTAGAATCCTGAATGGATGGTCTCTACTTCATCTTGTTTGAAGTTGAACAAGATGTTGAATTAACTTAACTTACTTATATTCACATTTTTCAGTATCAGTCATGTTATTCTTGAAGAGAAACTTGGTGGGTGGGTGTTCAAAAATCTGACTGCTTTTTAAAAAAAATGCTTATATATCCTGCATTTCAGTTATCCTGTCTAAATTGTGGTATTAGTAAGTAAAGGTAAAAGTTTCCCTGTAGACACCTCCAAGATCATGTGGCCAGCATGACTGCATGGAGCACCATTACCTTCCTGCTGAAGCGGTACCTATTAATCTACTCACACTTGCATGTTTTCAAACTGCTAGGTTGGCAGAAGCTGGGGCTAACAATGGGGGCTTACCCTGTACTGCAGAATTGAATCACCGACCTTCCGGTCAGCAAGTTCTGCAGCTTAGCGGTTTAACCCGCTGTGTCACCACAGCCCCATTAATCATATTAATACAGGACCAAAAAAACCCTGATTGCTCAATTTCTTTTAATACGTTTTCCTCTCATTCAGAATGAATGAATCTGTTATCCTACACTTCATAATATTGGACTTGTCACTTTTGTTACTAATTTGTAAGCTTGGCATATTATTCTGAATATAGATGTATTCCTTGGATTTAGGAGGACTCCAAAATTCGAAATGGTTTATTCCTGTATTCCTATCTTTTAAGAAATGCACGTGAAATTAGACCTGATATATATAATCTATATGATTTATTAGAAAGTTTGGGGAGTTCATTTTCATGGATACAGGGAATTTATGAAGAGAAAGATTTTTTTACCTGTGCTATAAAAGGTGCCGTCATAGCACCAATACGACAGAGAGAACCGCTGGTCCCCAGACCTACGGCTCTCATTGTAGTTGGATAAACCTATAAGAAAATTATATATCACATGTCCTGTATAGAGAAGTACAACATCTGTTACAGAGAAGAAGAAAGTAAAATAAAGGGAAGCTAGCTATTCCTTACCTTCAAAGGTGAAACACAAATGTGATCAAGATAGCAACAGTTATTAATGAGGAAGAACAGACAAGCAAGGAGAGGCTGGAACAGTTTGTTGTTGTCTGAGCTAACTGGGAAAAGCAATATTCCATCCTATTATTTCTTTTACTTGAGTGCCAACTACTTATGAACACAGTTTTCAACCACCGAACTAAGGTGAAGATGAAAAGGAGAAAAAATATCATTTTTAAGGCAGGATGGGACGGCAGAAGGTTCATTGGGATCATCCCTGCCAAATCAAGAAACCCAGAGGATGTGTTTTTCATGTAATTATGTTGTCAGTTACACGTCCCTCTTCTCTGCCATTCATAAATTCAGAAACATCTTACCTCTGCTGTGTAAATGTAGATAGTATTGAAATTTGCAGAGACAAAGGCACGCAGCATGAAGAGAAAAGCAATGAGACCCACGCTAAATGGAAAAAAGGAAGAGAAGATAAAAATGGACAGTCATTCAGTATCTAAGTTGTGGAATTCAATGGCTCATCACACCAAAGAAATCCATCAGACAGAACTGTATGCCAGAATATTTACAAACTGCATCTAGTGCACTAAAGACTCTTTTCTAAACTAGCATATGTATTTAGATAATTTTATTAATTATATATTTACTGACTCTTTATATCTCCATTTATAATGGGATTTCAAGTTGGCAAACAGATTTTTAAACCACTTATAATAATTTCAGAGTAAAACAATAAAATAGCTGGAACATTATAAATCTATATCAAATACAACCACAAGCTTAGAAGGCTAAAAGTAAAGGTTTCCCCTGACATTAAGTCTAGTCGTGTCTGACTCTGGGAGGTGGTGCTTATCTCCATTTCTAAGCCGAAGAGCCAGCGTTTTCCATAGACACCTGCAAGGTCATGTGGCCAGCATGACTGCATGGAGGACCATTACCTTCCCGCTAGAGCGGTACCTATTGATCTACTCACATGTGCATGTTTATGAACTGCTGGGTTGACAGAAGCTGGGCCTAACAGTTGAAGTGCACCCTGCTCCCCGGAATAGAACCGCAAACCTTTTGGTCAGCAACTTCAGCAGTTCAGCAGTTTAACCCACTGTGCCACCAGGGGATCTGAATTAGAAGGCTACAGCGATTAAAAACCATGCACGTGTATAATGCAATTAAATTAAACTCAGTAAAGCTGTGCCTTGACTTGGAGCCACAAAGAAACCAATATTGACAGTGATTGGACCTCCAAAGAGAAGGCAGTTGGGGCATTTCCAGTGTCCTCACACACTGTATTGCCCCCACCTGTGGGACACAAAATGCAAAAGGTTGTCTGTTAGTTCTACCCTGGCAAGTCTTTATTTCCTCTCCTCCGTACCTTTTCATTTATAAGAACAAAGAGGTTTCTTGCAAATTTATGTAACTAGTCAAGTAATCAGATAAGATTAAGGATGACCTTAACAGGCATACTTTGTCCAGATTTGTTCAAACATCCTCTTCATTGCTATAAACTACAGAAGTAGAACTAGTGTCCCATCTACATAATTTCTCTCTTATATAAGGGTTCTATGATTGGCTCAGTCTGCAGTTCAGTCTGTGTAATTCCCTTATCTCTGAGGGCTGTTCTACCTTTTATAGATGGCCAACCCAGAAATCACCTCCATTCAGGCAAGAAACTGGAAATAGACTTATTATTATTATTATTATTATTATTATTATTATTATTATTATTAGTAGTAGTAGTAGTAGTATATAAAGTATACAAATATACAAACATTAAAACAGAATTAAACACAAAAAGCATTTTAAAAATTCAGTTAAAATCCATCAAAACATATTCAAATTTAAAAACAATAGCATCCCCTGACTAGATCTTAAACACCTTCATCTTTAAATGCCTGTTTGAATAAAAAGTTTTAGCCTGCCGCCGGAAGGATAGCATAGACGAGGGTGTTGTGACTTCCCTGGACAGGGAGTTCTGGAGTCTCAGTCCCATCAACCGAGCTTGAGGTGGAGGTGGGACTGAGAGAAGGACCTCTCCTGAAGATCTCATGGCCTGGACAAGTTCATACAAAGAGATGTGGTCAGCCAAATAGCCTGGACCTGAACTGTCTAGGGCTTTAAAAGTCAATACCAGCCCTTTGAATTGTGCCCAGAAACGGACTGGCAGCCAGTGGAGCTGCTGCAACAGGGGTGTTTTCTGACCCTACTGCCAGTCCCAGTTAGCAACCTGGCTGCAGCTTTTTGGACCAGCTGAAGTTTCCAAGCACTCTGCATAGGCAGCCCCAGATAGAGCACATTAAAGTAATCCAACTTGCATGTGATCAACTACAACCTCTCAGCATAAAGAAAAACCATCCTACAGGATCATTAAATGCGTCTTTTGGAGTAGGACAGGGACAGGGAAGTATATGGTTCCAGTTCCACACATGTCATATTGTGGTTCACCATCCATCTTCACAAAAAACCACATACCTGTGCTTTTCTATGCAATTCCTCTCAAAAAGAGATGCACAAAAATGGAATTATGAGTGGCACTGCTAAAGCAAGGACACTGTGAAAGGAGGTAAGAGATAACCCCTTCTGCAATGCATCAGGAAACAGTTTGAGCAAGCTTTATCAGAAATTCCAAAATACGAAATACTTCAAAATCTGAAATTGGCCACATGGTTAATTTAGATAGTAACAACTTTGCTTTCTGGTGGTAAAGTGTACAAAATGTAGCTCCATGCACAAAATTATTTAAAATATTGTGTATAAAATTACCTTCAATCTAAGGTGTTTAGGAAACATAACTGATACTGTGATATTGCAACAACATAAAAGACAAAGGTAAAGGCCTCCCCCTTTATCATCTCCAGCGTCTGGAGGCAATGCTCAACCCCGGCCATGGGAAGGTGTACTTGTTCCATTTTTCCATGGCGAGAAGCTTGTTGTCCATAGACATCTCCAATCATGTTACCTGCATGTCTGTATATCTGCATGGGGCATTCTTTTACCTTCCCGCCGAGGCGGTACCTATTGATCTACTCGGATTGCATGTTTTCAAACTGCTAGGTTGGCAGAAGCTAGAGCTGACAGCGAGATCTTACCCTGGCTCGTGGCTTGGAACTGCCAACTCTCTTGTCAGTTTTCCTGCAGCTAGCAGTTTATCCTGCTGCGCTACTACAGTAAATACAAGTATTCCAAAATATTTCTGATCCCAAGCAATTTGATAAAGGGATACGCAGGTTGTGCATACAACCATAAACCATGAGATATATAAAATAGCATAACTGGGATTGTGTCACTGGTAAGATTTCAGAATCAATCACTTTTCTAACTCAGATTATTTTATCCCGTTGCATTGTTCTTGAGATGGCTGATTACAGCTAACATTATTATAAAAATAAAATAGAATAATTTATTTTCAGAATGAGTAACAAGTACATAGAGGCCTAAATCTTCTTAGTCCCATTTAGCGGAGATCATTTGAATCAATGTTGACTTAATATACAGCAGTAGGCACTCTCTAGTTGAGACTAACCAACAGTAGTGTTGAGCCAATGTAAGACACTGTACACATCAGAAAGGGAAGTCTTTTCATCACAGTTCTGTCACTATACATAAACACTTACCTTGATGTGCATATATTCAGGAGGAGGAAGAAGACTCCAGTGCATCCCATGGTTATGGTTAGGCTCAATCGCCTTCCCAGGAAATTGATGCCCAGAATATTTAAAGGGTTTACTGGAAACAGAGACAAAGCAAATTATACCTAGTTGCAAAATCAACTATGAACCAACTAAGATGCTCTACCATGGCTGAGGAATATCTGGTTCTTTGGATGTTGGGTTCCAACTCCCAACAGTCTCAGTCAGATTGGTCAATGGTGAGGCATGGGTGAATTGCATCTGATGGGATGCAAAATACTGACCCCTGCATTACATTTTTCTTCTGTGAAGAGGACAAAGAAGACCTCTCCGAAGTGGGAGAATGGATCTAGTAAATACAATGGCACTAGGATGCAGAATAAGCAAGTGTTTCACAGTGTATATTGGAACAAAAACTCTCAACACAACACATTCTGCTGAAGTGTGGTCCGGCAATGACTCATTGGAAAAGGGATGCTGGAGTTGCAATTGACAAGTTAATGAAAATATGGATCCAGTGTGTGTGGACAATTCTAAAAGGGAATTTGCAAAATGAATGGAAGAAACCACCTTTTATGGCTTCTAGCTGTGAATGGAAATATATTAGTCATCTTGTACTAGTTGATGGAGAACTTGAGTAAGAGTGTACTATTGCATTCATGTCTTGGTGGTAAACTCCTGATAGCCACTGGTTGGTACCAAGGGGAGAAAACATGCCAGAAACTTTGCTGTGTGTTATGTGGCTGCTTTTCCCTGCCCTTCCAAAAGCTATCCATTATATACAGAGAAGGATATATTACATGCAATCTCTCCAACTGTGCTGATGAACATGATTTGGTAATCCGACGGGGCAAACAGATGGCAGAAGCAAGGACTATGGATCCCCTCAAAAGTATCACCAATTTCATCCTTTCCTGTTCCTCCTTCTGTTGAACAAACCAGGTTCTTCTCCAGTAACTCTGCACTTGCTAGGATGACACCATAATAAGCAAAAGATATAGTGAGCCTGTAAAAGAAAGAGATGGGAATGAGTAGGTGGGAAGCCAGAAGTGGAAATGAAACATTCTGAATAATGTTGGAATGCAAGAAGTAGGGCCCTGAACTTCAGATTCAAGGCAAGCAAGGGTAGGGAATGTGTAGACCACACGGAATCCCCAATATTATTTTATGTCCCCTCATCCACAAGACCACCCAGAACTCCTCAGAATTGTCTCATAAGGAACAATTGTGCAATGTAAGGTGATAGCAACCCTTTTCCAACAACAAATAGTCAAAGTGTTGACTTCCAGATTACTTCCTGTGGGGAAAGAGACTTGTCCTGTGCAATAATAATAATAATAATAATAATAATAATTCCACCTTTATCCTGATGGTGGGATTTAAGGCAGATAATGTATTGAAAACAACACGAATTAACCCCCCCCCCCCCATGCTTCTAAAATTGGGGGTCCAAAACCTTATAGTTTGGGATGCCATTTCCCTCCAAAAAAAAAACCATTCAGAGTGTCATTTAGTTCTAACAACTTCCTGGGAAGGATGCAGCCCCAACTTTCCTATTGTTTCTTATCCCTGAAATAAAACAACAAAGGTAATCATAGCAGTCTTCCACCTAGCTGATAGGTTGTGGAATTTTACTACTATGGGATTCATAAATATTCCTACTTAAACAGCACAGTGCTTGCAAGGAAGTATGGAGAAGAGGCTTGCTATTAAATTACCACACATCTTTTCAAAGACCTGCTACTGAGTTACTGAAATATTACCTTCAATGTATCAAAGAACTCTGCAAGACAGTGTGGTATAGTAGTTTAAGGACACTGGGAGATCAGGATTCAAATTAATGCTTGGCCATGGAATATGCAAAATTAATGCAGGTGTGAAAAAAAATGTTCTATGTGACGATTCTTAACATTTTTGTTTTGTTCTTTTAGCTTTATCTTATTTTTAATAAACATTTTTAAAAGAAAAATTGGGAAAGTTTAAAAAAAGAAAACCATGAATGACCCTGAGCAAGTCACATTCATTCAGTCTCAGAAAAAAGGCAATGCAACCTCCTTTGATTCCAAGAAAACCCAATGAGAAGTCACCATTAGTTGGAAATTACTTGAAAGGACACAACTGCAACATTAAAGATCTCATGCAAATTCCCATTTAAGTTTTCTCACACTACATAATAACAGTGATTTGATAAACTGCCATAGTTCCATCCTATGGAATCCCAGGTTTTACATTTTCCTACGATATTCAGAATTCTCTGCTGGAGAGTTCTAGTGCTTCCCCAAACAATAAATCCAGAACTCCATAGAATGCAGCTGTGGCAGTTAAATGGAGTCAAGGGCCACATCTACACCTAACAAAGAATTCAGGACAAAAGCAGCAGAGGTGGTAGCAAAGCAAATATGCACCTGATCACATGCAAAGCCCTGGAAGTGACTCAAACCTGGGGAGTGTTGGTTATACCCAGCAGAGAAGTTGGATCCTACCCAGTTCCAGGATCTGCAATATCTGTGGCTTCGTGGCCATGGAGGTTTCAGGCTATGTTTCAACTTCCCTTGCTATGCACAGGTGTGCCCTTAATTGGTTTCATCATGTGATGTGGTTATGTGTGCTGATATGCATTACATGGCCTATTGCAGAGCATCCATCCCATGATTTTGTTTATTCATAGAATCATAGAATCACAGAGTTGGAAGAGACCTCATAGGCCATCCAGTCCAACCCTCCTGCCAAAAAACAGGAAAATCACATTCAAAGAACCCCCAACAGATGGCCATCCAACCTGTTTAAAAGCCTCCAAAGAAGAAGCCTCCACCACAAACCAGGGCAAAGAGTTCCACTGCTGAACAGCTCTCACAGTTAGGAAGTTCTTCCTAAAGTTCAGTTGGAATTTCTTTTCCTGTAGTTTGAAGCCATTGTTCTGCATCCTAGTCTCCAGAACAGCAGAAAACAAGCCTGCTCTCATCTCCCTATGACTTCCCTTCATATATTTATACATGGCCATCATGTCTCTTCTCAGCCTTCTCTTCTGCAGGCTACATGCCCAGCTCTTTAAGCTGTTTTTCATATTCTGGTGTAAGGCCTCTAAAAAGCATGTCTGCATGTGTTCATGCTGTACTTCTTTTGCTTACTGCATTTTTAGATTACTTTAATCCACATTCCATGGTCAGTGGCAATGTGCCCAGGGGCTGTATTTATGACATGAACAAGGTCTTGTATCTTTCCAAACTGACTGCATAACACATCGCAGCCAAAATATTTGAATTTCCTAATAATTGGTTTCAAGATATTTTGAGCATACAAATTTGAATATGTGCCCAGGATGGCAAGGCTCTGTTGACAGTGCGTGTGTGATCACATGCATGTATTAGAAATTTATTAGGCCCATTTCCCACTTTTCGGTCCCTCTATGGCTTAAGCAAAGAAGCAAGTCAGAGGACAACGGTGTGTGACACTGCAAGAAAAAAGACCCCATTATGTCTTGATGCATGAACAAATTCAGTATGTAATTTCTATGGATAGTGCAGCTCAGTGAACAGAATGCAGGATTTAAGAGACTGTGTGCCTATCTGCATGTCTGAATGGTTATAAATGACAGCGGTCCAACTGAATATGATTGTTGGCTGAATCCCAGCCACACAGAGGTTTTGTGGCAATGTTATACAATGGGGCTGTTTCAAAAGACTTGGATGGATGCACAGGATACTTGTGCAGGCTTATTCTCTATTCTGTATTAATCTTTTATTCCCACATACATTCCGCAAGTAAGAGAGGGAGAAATAGGATTTTAAAAGGATTTCATTAGCGGTGATTCAGCTTCTTCCCACTGTGATACAGAGGTAACTGGGGCTTGCAGAGAGCCTTCCACAGCATAAAGAAAAAGGACTTGCAAATTCTATTAGCATAACCAATTTTCTTCCCTTCTAACTGACTAGTTTCTGAATAATAGCTCCTCTCCTTAAAAGGCAACTGAACCTACTCCCTTGACATGTTCCATTGATTTCCATTTCCTTATGCACTGCCATCTGAAAGAAACAAATCAAACATATTTACCATATAATCCATATTTGTAGAGATGTCCTTAAGTATTTGGGATCCATAAGGTCTTTGAATCTACCCCTTTTTTGCTGAAAGTAATTTCAAATGACCAGTCAGAAATACATGAAGAAAAATGTGACTGAAAAGCTAATTACAGTCCATTCACATATCAGGCTATGCAACATCCAGATCTTTGGGGTGAGCACTACAACTTTCATAATCTTTTACTATTGCCAATGTTGGATTGGGCTTCTGGGAGTTGAAATCCAAATCTGACTCAGTGGCAAAGTTCATGGATGGAAAACTGGTGTGGTATAGTGATGTGAAGATTGGAACACCACCGGAGATTGGGTTTCAAATCCTTGCTCCATTATGGAAAGCTACTGGTTGGCCTCAGGGAGTCACACTCTCTTGGCCTCAAGAAAAGGCAAAGGAAACCTCCTTCTGAAAAAAATCTTCCCAAGAGAACCCCATGAGAAGATCATCTTAGAGTTGCCATAAGTGAGAAATGACTCAAAAACATGCAAGAACAACAAGGTTGGATTGGATTGTTATGAGTTTTTCGGGCTGTATGACCATGTTCCAGTAACATTCTCTCCTGGCGTTTTGCCAGCATCTGTGGCCAGCATCTTCAGAGATCTGTTGACCTCGGAAGATGCCGGCCACAGATGTAGGCGAAACGCCAAGAAATAATGCTACTGGAACATGGCCATACAGCCTGAAAAACTGATAGCAATCCACTGATTCTGGCCATGAAAGCCTTCGATAACAACAAAGTTAATCATTGGCTTTTAGCTATAATAACAACATGTACAGAGGCAGGGTGCCACTGAATAACAGATGCTCAGGACTAGTGAACAGCTGTGATTTTGCTCTTAAATTTGTAATTACCATGCCAATTAGTCATGGGCCGAAGTTTGGATTTCATAATTTCAGCCACAAGTCTATCACCAACACAACAAGCTTACATCAACAGGTTCCACCAATTTTCCTTCAGGCATAACAGAGCGATTCATCTTAGCAATCCACTGCAGGGTGGCGAGGGCAGCCTTCTCATTTCCACATGAGACATTGTACCGGGCAGACTCAGGGATAAACTACAAAATGCATTGGGGTAAGAAAAAGCATTTATCAGCATTACTGCTTTTCATATAGTAAAGATTACATTGTACATAGTAATTACTAGTAATAAAGTTTGTCACAATTCACAAACGGGATATATAGTCAAGCCTTATTAACAAACACAACAGCTTATAATATATCATAATTCATAACCTGAAGTCTAGAACAGATTTGTTTGCTTGAAAGTATCTTCCAGCATCAGATAGTTGCATTCTTGCAACTCAAAATATTCCATCACAGCTAAAAGTAATGATGGATTTCTATCAGACAAACTTATGAATAATGGAGTGTATCTACTTGGTAAATTGGTCAGTGAAGGACAAACCATACCTGCCAAGCACATAAATGATAAGCCAAGTGATCAAGTTTTAAAAATGCCATCACTTGAATAAGAAGAAAGTAAAAAGCACGTCTCACAAACAATACTCCAGGGCAGTGGTTCCCAACCTATTTTTGGCCAGAACCACTTGACTAGGGAACACTTTGATCAAGGACTACTTGACCAGGGACCACTCTCCAACATGAGTACCAAAAGTGCTATGGATCAGTTTTTGGTCAACTTTAGATTTGGTTTGGGGTGCTGATTCAGAAAATTGCATTGGAGAGACCACATCAGCTCTAGTTTCTGATACAGAACATATGCCATGGTCAGCGACAGGGTAGGAGTGGCAGGCAGCGCAATAGGAGCGGTAATACAATAAATGAATAAAGAGAAATGAGGATCGCGGACCATATTTTCATCCTCGCAGCCCACTAGTTAAGAACCACTGTTCTAGGACAAGGATAGACAATGATGAGTCTCTAGATCAGGGGTGCACATGTCAGAGTGCTGCAGAAGCTTGGAAGCTCAGAAGAAATGGACACTTGAGACTTCAGTAGAAAACAGATATCTAGCTTTACTAAGCAGCTCGAAATATACAGCATACACCATCAGTAGACAGACAGGAACAACAAGGACGAACGACTAACACACTCACTGGAGCTATAAGGACTTATCTCTGTGTCCTCCCTACTCGCTCAAGGATCATATCTTCACAGCTTATTAGCTCTACTGTTTAACCCTTTCTGTGTCAGAATACTCTCTGGCATTACAATCCTGTTACAATCACATCCATTGTACATAAAATTACATTTAAACACACACTATACATAAATCTTACACTAACAGCACAAACATTGGTCCTCCAAATGTTTGAGGTCTTCACTCCACAATCAGCATGCCCAGTTCTCAGAGCTTATGGAAGCTGAAGTTCAAAGCATCAGGAGAACCAAAGGCTGCTCTAGATGTTTTGGGATGCAACACTCATAGTTCCTTTCCACTTGCTGGGTGGGCTGGGACTAATGTGAGTCACAAACCAAAATTATATGGAGGTCCACCACTAAATGATTTTAATTCTGTCTTCCTCTGAGGCTGAGATACTGTGGGTTTCCCAATGTCGCCCATTGTGTTCTTAGGGTTGAGCAGGGATTCAAACCCTGGTTCCTCCTGACTCCTAGTCCATCACTCAAACTTCTACACTACCTTACCAAATTGCCTTCTGCTGCAACAAATTAACTGTATGGGTGCCCTATTAATGGAGTCATACATTTTCCACACCTTAAATGCTAGGATGAGAATGATGCCTGGAATAGCAGAAACTCGAACCAGCCACCGCCATCCAATGGTTGGGTTAATCACAGATGCCAAGCCAATAATTAATAAGGAGCCTGTCAACCAAAACACCTGCCAAGAGGAGAAGTAGTGGTTAAAACATGAAGTGATGATGGGACTCTCTCTGTTATTTGTTATAGCAGCATCTCCTCTCCACAGTCACATCAGCATTCATGACTTCCTTCCAACTGCTATTGCTGCATAAAACATTATTATGAAAAGAGATTTAGTTATGCTCTCTGGCTTCCAACTCGCAGGCTGTCAATACAGATTTCGATAAAGCAAGCACTGTGTTCATCAACTCAGCTCTGGAAGGTTGAATGTCAGCTGTCAGGGTTCCTCAGAATGGAATATGTGGCACAGTCAATTACTGGAGAATAAATTTATTCGGTGCTTACAGGCACTCACATTTCATATTGCAAAGAGTAAAGAGATTTCATAGAGGGAACTATGTACTTCTACAGTTCTGGAAATTTGTTTATATCCTCATTTGGACATTAAGTCCACTAGCTGACCTTGAGCTGGTCAATGTTACCTAGACTAACATATTGCAAAAGATTGCCATTGAAGGTAAAAAGCCTTCTGTTATCAAAAGCAGGATGTCAATACAGCACAACCCACATCTGTGGGATCAGTACCTGATGTTTTAGTTATTCACGTTGTTGTTGTTGTTGTTGTTGTTGTTGTTATATTAAATACTGGGGTGTAACATATCTATACTTGCTTGCAATAGAAGTAATTGTATTAGATCAATAATTAATTATAAAAAATATATAGGATGTTTTTAATGCTTGCCTTAGTGTTTAAATGTTTATGTCTTATGTTTAATGGCTGTAATTATTTTAATTTATAATTATATGTTAGTGTTTAGTTATTATGATTTTTTCTTTCTATATATATATGTTGGCATATTGAATTTTTGCCATTAATATGTTGTAAACTGCCTTGAGCCCCCCCCCCCCCGGGGTGAGAAAGACAGTATATAAATATAAATAAATAAATAAATAAAACTCAAGAATTTAATGTATTGGAGTCAGGAATCCATAACTACATCTGGAATACCAAATACCAAACGATGCCAAGTGGGTTAGTGTACCTTTTCTTTAACTAGCAGATACTAACAGTTACTCTTGAAATCCCACTGTATATAAAAAGTAGATCTCCCTATAAGATAAGAATCAGGAGAGTGGTGTAAATCTGACAAATATGAAACTGAATTTCCTACAGTATATAAGGGAATGTTGCAGTCCTTGTCCTCTCAAAATTACTGCTCTGAATACGTTTATAGGCAACTTAATGACATGACCATCATAATTGATTTTGAAAAAAATCTGGGAAAGGTAAAACATTAAACATCATAAAACAAAAACAAAAAAAACACAACTCCAATCAAATAAATAGTAACTTCAACTTATTACTTTATCACTATCATCATCACCACCAATCAGGCATGTAGCCGGGGGGGGGGGGCTTGAGGGGCTTCAGCCCGCCCCCCCCCCCCCGAAATTCTCATGGTGGTTCACGAAAAGGCCTTACTGGTACATTATTTAAACTGTTATGTTTATTCATATCATGATCTGATCACCATGCTCAATATATCCCATATGCATGGGGCTATTGGGGTAACGATACAAAAGGTTTGCTAGGGTAGACCCTCTTTCACTCAGACTCACCCCCCCCCAAACTCAGCCCCCCCCCCCCGAATCGAAATCCTGGCTACGGGCCTGCCACCAATCATCATCATCACCAGTATCCTGTTTTATCCTTTCCTAAAATGCCATCCAAATCATCCTAGGCCTTGAGATTTCAATAGCAAACTCTGAGATCAAAATACATCTCCTGGTGGCTCACAGCAGGAAGACGTATATTATACCATTAAGCAGGGGCGGCTCGTCCCTTATGCGAAGTAAGCGGTCGCAGAACACTTTTTTTTGCCAGGGGCGCAGAGGCGCCTCTGTAAATGCCCCTCGACCACCACTTGAGGAGCGCCCCCTCAGCTCACAACAGCCCTAGCAGTCCGGGGGGAGCCTCGGCTTTCTTGCCTCGCTGCCGGACGATCCTCTTCCCAAAGGGTCCGGGCCCTTGAGCCTCGCCTAGCCCCTCTCGTTCCTGCTCCACCCGGCCACCGGGTGCACGAGTAGAGCCGGCGCTCAATCGTTCTCTGCGTTCAATCCCTTCCCCATGACCGGCTCCATTTCCTGATCCCCCGGCACTCCACCCGCCTCCTCTCCTCTTCCCAATCTGTGGGTGGGCCAAGGGGCGGAGCCGCCGCATCTGGCCCGCTTTGGGTCCGGAGGCATGTCTGAAGACCCCAGAGTGCGCACCAAAAGTCACCTCTTCTCCTGACTTTCTCTTCAGCCATTGGGACTGAGAGAGAGAGAGAGAGAGAGAGCCCCTCCAGCTGGAGGTATCTCCCACCTCCGCTCCCTCCTTTGTTTTTGCGCCTACCTTCAGGAAAGGTGGGCATCTCCACCTCTGTCTCTCTCTCTCTCTTTCTCGGTCCCAATGGCTGAGGAGAAAGTCAGGAGAAGAGGTGACTTTTGGTGCACACGCTGGGGTCTTCAGGCACGCCTCTGGACCAGGCAAGGGAGCAAGTGCGGCAAGTGTAGTTACTGGGATGTATAGTTCACCTACAATCAAAGAGCATTCTGAACTCCACCAATGATGGAATTGAACCAAATATGGCACACAGAACTCCCACGACAAACAGAAAATATATATCAATGATTGGTTCGGGGGGGGGGGTGGGGGGGTGAAAATACTGTTTGCTTACCGTTGAAAATTACCTAGGGCCGCCTCTGCCATTAAGCAGGATATCATAAATATCAATCACCAGTGCTCAGGGAATATTCAATTTTTAAAGTCCTAATAAGGTAATATAGACACAATATAGACACACACTTTTCAAGCCTGTGCTCTTGCCCTGAGATTCCTTCCCCTTCTGAGAACTGGAGACAAAAGGCCACTACTATACATTGATACCTTGACATATGAGTTTACTTCATTCTGTGACCAAGCTCATATATCAATTTGGTTGTATGACAAAGCAAATTTCAGCACTGAAATGCATTGAAACTTAATGAATGTGTTCCAGCGCCCTAAAAACCACACCAGTTCCACCCACTGACCTGCCAAAGGAAGGCCACAAGCAAGTTGTGCTGGGCCTGGAGCAAGCTGTGCACCCTTCCCCAGCTGAAGGAGGAGCCTCCATGCCCATGAGCAGGCCCGTGGCAAATTGTGTGCCTGGCCATATAGTACTCTCACAAAAGGTAGCGCTAATATGATAGTACCTGCCATCTTGCACAGGACCTACTCCCGGGGCGTGGAGCCTCCTCCCTCAGCCGCGACTCATAACTCAGATTGCCACTTGCAAGTTGGAACACACAATCAGAGGAATTATGGCTCATATCTCAGATTGTTCATATGTTGGGACGCTTGTATTCCACTGTATTACATCCCAGCAGATCGACTTCATATTTACCTGTGATAATGGCAACATATAGCCCCGGTATTTTGTAGGCAAAAATTCTGTTTTTATTATTAGCCTAAAGGAAACAAGAAAAAGTTAAGAGAACAAGTACAATGCATAATACTGTAGGTCATCAGGTAATACGGTTCCTCATAGGAGCCTGAAAGGAGCCCCAGATTGTCTGGAGAAGTCATTTTTTCAGTCTTACAACTTACACATGTATGGTTGGTGAGGACACAAGATAGGAAAGAGGCCCTGGAACTTTTTTCCTAGCAAGGCTGGAATGGCACGTGAAAATTAGAAAGATCTGACAACTCCATTAAACAGTTTTGTACACGTTGAAGCAACTTTCTTTTTGGTGTAAGTGTAATATTTTCTTGTTGCTTTTCTAGTTGTCTATTAAGGGCATTTTAGGTGGCACAGCAGGTTAAACTGCTGAGCTGCTGAACTTGCGGACCAAAAGGTTGGTGGTTCGAATCTGGATTGTGGGGTGAACTCTCACGGTTAGGCCCAGCTCCTGCCAACCCAGCAGTTCAAAAACATGCAAACATGAGTAGATCAATAGGGACTGATTTGGTGGGAAGGTAAGGGTGCTCCATGCAGTCATCCTGACTACATGACCTTGGAGGTGTCTACGGACATATTGGTTCTTTGACTTAGAGCACCACCCCCCAGAGTCGGACACAACTAAACCTAATGTCAAGGGGAAACCTTTACCTTTTTAGAGACACTCTTAGTAGAGTTTTAGTCCATTCTCTTGAGAGTCCTTGTTTTTTTTTAAGGTAATTTTAAGGTAATTGAGAGGTAATGAATAATACAACACAATATTTTTTTAAAAATAAAAAAATCAGTAATGTTAATTAAGAGGGCAAGGGGTTCTAAAGTGTTACATACTAAACTACTTTTAGATAACATGTGACATGTTGTTCATAGTATAACATTACCCTTGTGCATGACCTGACAGACCACATCCCACCATGGTTCGGAGGAAGACAAACCAGATGTACGATGGGGAAAATGATGCCAGCAAGGAGAAATAGGCTCCCCAGATGAAAGAGAAGAATAAAATCTGGAATAGGAGATACATAACAGAAGTAAATTGCCTTGAAAGTAAAATTCTGCACTGGTTACTAAAACTTTATTCTTTATCCCATTGAACCAAGAGGTAGGTGTGTTTATTCTAGAGAAGAGGAAAACAAATGAGATGGGATCAATAATTGCCACCTTTATATGTGCGAAGAGCTGCTATGCAGGGAACGGAACAAACGTTTTTACACAAAGGGAAGAACATTTAAGCCATAAGTAAAACTATTATTCTTTAGTAATGCAGTTGCTGTCTTGGACATTTTTCCCAACTGAAATTACAGTAGAATATACACATAAGTGTACAGTTTCACCAGAAATTCATGGGGCCTTATAAATGTTTTCACTTGGGTGTTTTGTTTTGTTAAGTTGCATTTTTCTTGTTCAGAAATTGTTTTTACAAACACACTGATCATACACAAAAAAGAAAATTGTTTTACAGATGGCTTTTAAAACCCATAAAGGGAGTATTAGAAAATTATTTCAAAGTTTTTCATTTGCTCATGGAGAAAGTGGACCAGATTTTCCAACCAAGGCATTTAAAACCACACTGTGGACTTATAACAGGAGTGAAATCTGTTATAAGTTTACAGTTGGGCCCTGCAGAGTTAAAGAAAGCTACCTTTTGGGCAGGGTTGGCTGCAATGTTTGGGCAGATGGGCAACAACTACAGAAATACAGACCCTATTCCAAATAAATGTGTGTGTCAAAGGAGTCTGCAATCTTCTAAAGACCCTTGTTCTCTATAGTTCTGGCTAATAAGACTAGAATTAGTGGCAAGGAATGGCTGGGATGCACATTCTAGCTAAATCTTTAGTACAAGCTTCCAGAGAGGAGTTCTATGTTGGAAAGTTGTTCCACAGTGGCTTTTCTATAGTAGAACAAACCACTTTCACTGAAGAGGCCTAAAGGCCATTTGTCAAAAATGTTCTGGTAGCTTCTTGTACTGTTGATCCTCCACCGAAAACAGTGTTTGATAAATGATCTTAAATATCCCAAGCCTATGATTTAAGGTCCCGGGTAGTCATAATAAGAAAATGTATTGTCGAAGGCTTTCATGGCCAGAATCACTGGGTTGTTGTGAGTTTTCCAGGCTGTATGGCTCTCCTGACGTTTCACCTGCATCTATGGCAGGTGTCTTCAGAGGTTGTGAGGTCTGTTGGAAAGCACCCAAACATGAATCAAGGAACATGAAAAGCATTGCAGACAACTTCAACCAGAGAAGTAAGCCATAGCAAAACACTTGATGAACCAACCCAGACACAGCATATTGTTTGAGAACACAGAAATGCTGGACCACTCTAACAACTACCATGTCAGACTAGACAGAGAAGCCATTGAAATCCACAAGCATGTAAACAATTTCAACAGAAAGGAAGAAACAATGAAAAGGAACAAAGTCTGGCTACCAGTGTTTAAAAAACCCCTCTAAAATAATAACAGTAAATAAAGAACAACACTCAAAAACAGTGGAATTCCAGACAAGAAACAATAAGGGCCAGCTAATCACCTTCCAACAAAGGATTCCCCCAGGCAGTAAGAAGTCCTTGAAACTGTCAGGACATTAAATGCTAATCAAGGTGACCAATTGAAACATTCACACCTACCCCAAACAGACAAGAGTTCTTTCTCCTACCTGGACAATCCACAGATATATAAACCCCATTTTCCTAGTTTCCAACAGACCTCACAACCTTGGAGGATGCCTGCCATAGATTCAGGTGAAACGTCAGGAGAGAATGCTTCTGGAACATGGCCATACAGCATGGAAAACTCACAACAATCTTCAGAGACTTAAACAGCTCTTTTGCCCAGCACTTAAAAGCAACACCCACCAAAATATCTCCTTGTTTACCTTCCAGCGGCCATATCTATCAGCTAGAACTCCAAATATTAAACTGGATACCATGTAACCAAAGAACACCATCTGAAATGAATATAAAGCAGCATGTATTGGAAAACTGATAGACATTGTACCCTTTTATGGTATATGTGCTATGATTTAACTCTAAAACAAAGGGACTTGAGAACTAGAAGTGCCAAATCTAGATTTTTGGAAGGCCCATTAGTGAGGTGAGAAGGTGGAGTTCAAGGAGGGATAAGAGTTAAGGATGCAACCAGGGGTGGAAAGAAGGTAGAACTGGGAAGAGCACAGGGAGGGGGTGAAGAAATGTTAGTGTGGAATGTGTGACCTGTATAAATTGCTCCCATTTTGTTTGTTCTGTGTGGTACCTGGCAATTCCAGAGAGCACACATTAGTTTTCTGCTGAAGATGTGGTCAGACCACATCTGGAATACTGTGTCCAATTCTGGGCACCACAATTGAAGGGAGATGTGGACAAGCTGGAATGGGTCCAGAGGAGGGCAACTAAAATGATCAAAGGTCTGGAGAACAAACTCTATGAGGAATGGCTTAAAGAGCTGGGCATGTTTGTTTAGCCTTCAGAAGAGAAGCCTGAGAGGTGACATGATGGCAGTGTAAAATATGTGAGGGTAAGTGATAGGGAGGAGGGAGCAAGCTTGTTTTCTGCTGCCCTGGAGACTAGGATGCAGAACAATGGCTTCAAACTACAAGAAAGGAGATTCCATTAGGAAGAACGACCTGTGAGAGCTGTTCAGCAGTGGAACTCACCAGAGTGTGGTGGAGGCTCCTTCTTTGGAGGCTTTTAAGCAGAGGCTGGATGGCCATCTATTGGGGGTGCTCTGAATGCGATTTTCCTGCTTCTTGGCAGGGGGTTGGTTTGAATGGCCCATGAGGTTTCTTTCAACTCAATGATTCTATGATTCTGTAATTTATAATCTCCTCAATGTTGTTCTCAATTGGGAAACACGGCCAGGAATATTTAAAGGATCTTTAATATTTTCAAGTCCAGTAGTTGAACAGTTGACTTTTCACTATCTAAAGTTTTTCATCCAACACTCTGGTCAAACTAAGATCACACTGCAAATGCAAGAGAAAATACAGCTGGGTTCCTCCCAGATTCTCTGGAGTAACTCAAGGTCATCTGGAGCTATTCCAATTATCTGATGCAACAACAATCCCAACTTGACACATACATATCTCTATCTTCAATATCAGCCAGTGTTACATCAGTTCATAGTGTGATATTGTGAAAGAGTGTCAGATTGGGACTTGAGAGATTCACATCTCCATTTGAATCCCTAAACCACCAGAACAACCTTACAAGATCACTGCGAGGAGGAGGAGGAGGAGGAGGAGGAGGAGGCGGCCATGTACACCATCCTAAGCTCATAGCTGGATTGTCGAAGGCTTTCATGGCCGGAATCCATGGGTTGTTGTAGGTTTTTCCGGGCTATATGGCCATGTTCTGGAGCCATGTTCTCCAGAACATGGCCATATAGCCCGGAAAAACCTACAACAACTCATAGCTGGATGTTTGTGTACAAAACAAACTAACCAACTAATAAATATAAATAAATTATCATATGCATACTCTCAGGAAAAATCCTCTACAATATTTCTTACATCTTGATCTGGGCCTCCAAATCTTTGTTGCTTGCTTTCAGCATGACTGATTAATCGTTTCAGGTTTTAGTACAAACTTTAGATGAGCTATCCAAAAACCTGTCCAGCACTTTGGTTAGATCCTTTAAAGTTCAGGCTAAAGGCCACTCGGGGTTTCAGTGCCCACCCTCCAGTTTTCTCTGTTGATCTGTGATGTATGTCACTCTACCAAAATGTAGTTTTACACAGGTCCTGGTGGCCTCTGTTCTTTCCCTGACATGCAGAGATTTCCGTCATTGGAAGTACTTCAGACATTTTTATTGTTTGTTTGTTTGCTTTCCGGGATGATTGGACTGTTCTTCTTTTCTACCCTTATCCTCATATTATTTTCTCTTCCCCCATATAATAGTTTGCATTTACAGACAATGAAGCTTTGCGTTTACAGACAATGAAGTCTAACTTTATAGAAGGGATATATAAGAACATTCCCAGAACAACAGCTTTGCATTTGTGGAAACAGAGTGAGTCAGCACACAATACATTGATACACTGAAAAATATATGAAATCTCAAGAAATAAATTATTTGTTATAATTAGAGCCAGTAGCTGACCTGAATGATTCAGTTAAAATTATATATTTGCTGTCTACTTCCATTTAATCATTCCTGGTTACTGCAAATCTAATTGCGGTGAAAGCTGCCAAGAATTGCCTGGGGGAATAATTGAGATTAATTGTTTCTCATAACAAATATGGAAACAGAAAATGTATTTGCACATTTTGTATGTGCTTGTTGTAGTCATAATATTTTGATAGCTCTTAAATATATATTTTTTAAAATTTTCTTTTTAATCTTTCATTGCAATGATTGGTTGTCATTGTGTTTTTTTTTTTGTGGTTATATGTATCCTGTATTTGATTGTCTTATAATAATAAATTGGAAATTAATCAGCAAAAAAAAGGCCTCTCCCAGCTTTGCCACTTTCCTTTCACCAGCAGACAAAGACCTTTATGGTTTTTATTATTAAGGTTTTTTTTTTCCCTTTGGGAGCCACCTTAGTTTCCATTCTGGGAGAAAGGCACCAGACAAATGAAATAAATAAAATAAAAACTGTGGCTAAAATAATGTCTACTCACAGTTGTCACGAAAGCCACTTGCCAGTTTTGAAGTTGCCATTCACACCGGATAACTGGACTCACCACAGCAATCAGCATAATTTCCATGGCTTCTGTCACCTTCAGGGATAAACAAACACACATAAGCATTGTGTCCAACATTTCAAGGGCAAATAAAGGATTGGCCTTATTATTTCCCAATTCTCGTTCTAAGGAGAATTGGGAAATAATAAGAAAAGCCTACCATTTTGAAAAACAGCTGCCAGACTTTTTCAACCAAATCATTTCTGACTAATGGCAACTCTATGGCAAACATATCATGGTGTTTTCTTGGTAGAATTTGTGTAGAGGTGGCTTTACCTTCTTTTCTTCTAAGGCTGAATGAGATAGAGTGACTTGCCCATGTTCACTCAGAGTTTCCATGGTTGTGCAGGGATTTAGACTTGGTCTCCCACTGTTGTAACTCAGTGGCCAAAACAGCCAGGGGCTGATGGGTTCACCGATGATTCAGACTGAGAAGGGATTGTGCGGTTTCCTGGGATCCAAGGTGATATAGGCCAAGGGAATGATACAAGCCAAGGGAATGAAATTGGCTGTTTGTTGCCTGGGGAATGCAGGCCAAGAGAATGCAATTGCATCAGACAGTGCTGAACTCTGAGGTCAGTCTCAGGAATCAGAAACAACATTATTAGATAGGGGGTTGAGTGATGCTGAATTAACGGAGAACCACCTGGAGGTACGGAGGGCAACACTCAGAGATCTAGCCCTGCTTCTTGTCCTCTTCCTCCTTGTCCTCTTCCTCCTCCTCCTCCTCTTCCTCTCCTTGTATCTTTCTCCTTCCCCTTCTCTGTCCTCTGCTTCTGCTTCTGCTTCTTCATCTACACTACCACCATTAGAGAGCAGAGGGTGGCAAAGAAGAACCCAGCTGTGCGACTATAGCTAGCTGCTTCTATCCATCCCTCCAGGTCTCCATCAACCACTAAATGGGCATGGGGGTAAGTTCTCTGAGAGTGGAGATGTGGGCCAAAGCCCCTTCTACACTGCCATATAATCCAGTATTTGATCCCTGATCATCTGCTTTGAATCGGATTATATGGCAGTAGATTTGAGTAATCCAGTTCAAAGAAAACAATCTGGGATCAGATATTGGATTATTTGGCAGTGTAGAGCCAGCCTAAGTGGAACTGTAAGCATCATCTTCCAGGATATGAGCAGATTATCTCAAAACATTAAAACAGATCATCATTTTTAAGGTCAGGTTATCCTGTACTGTGAAAAACTTACACCAGTGCTGCCCATTATCATAAAAAGCGCAATGTGAAATCTCCCAAAGCCAATGGTTTCCACAGCCTCTGCTACTGTGAATGTCTTCTGCTCTACCTCACCTGTGGTGTCTGGCTTGTGCTCTAAAACATGAAGAAAAATAAATAAAGTTAGTTGTAAAGCTGCTAGTCATATAAACATTTAATGACACATGAAGAACACATACCAGAACTTGGTTGTCACTCTTGGGGAAGGCCAGGGCAAACACAAAAGAAAATCCTGATTTGATTGTAATCCAGGGATAGGAAAAGTAGACCCCTCAGTTACAGGCAAACCATGGAGCCCCATTTTGCAAACAACATAGCTTCCAGATCTCAATATATATTTGTCTCCCCCTCTTCTCAATACCTCTCAAAGTTTTCAGTATTTGGAAAATCACAAACTGGAAGAGATGCAACATCTAACAACAGAGAAATGTGACAGTTCCCATTTCACCTTAAAATAAGGACCTTTAGCCATTTCTATGCAAAAGGGGATGTCTAGAGTCAATTGGTCCCCAAGTCCAAAATCCTTCATTTCTACACACTTTAAAGATGTTTTAAAGATGGAGTCCCACGGTCAACCAGCAGATCTACTTTTGTGTTGTTTGATGGGCTCCATCTTTAAAATTACTTTAAAGTGTGTAGAAATGGGGGAACACCAGTGTATGATGAGGTTCCTAATGGCCAACACAAAATAAAGTGTGCTAAATGAAAGTTACACAGATGAGGGGAAGCATGTGTTGCAAGAGACAGATGCCTTTCATCACTTAAATTTGCAAAAAAAGGCAATTGTATGTATCACCCAGTCTGTTTTGTTTTCTGCCCATTGGATTGTTTTTGTTGTTGACATTCATCAATTTGTTTATTATGGCTGCTTTGCCAAAAAACTTCACACAGATTATCTTAACAAAAACGATATAAAAAACTGATATAAATAAACATTGACATGAAACAAACAGACATTGATATGCCTAAGCGGCATATGCACATTGGTAATATCATAAGATGATGGATTTAGCAAACTAAACTCGGTCACTTAGGTCTATCACTAAGAAAAGCTTAGTCAATTATTATGTTCTCAATAGAAAGCAGACCTGCTGAGAAAGGCTCTGTTGACAATTTAATTAACAAGCGCACCAAACTTAAGGCAAGGGAGAAGTAATTCAAGGAGGCTAACTGTTCAAGTATGAGATTATCGTTAATTATTGTAATAAAGGACTTATTGTTTATGTTTAATGTTAGGGCTGCCAAAATCCATCAGTCTAACTTTCCTTTCAGTGACATTCTCAATCTGTCTTATTCCACATTGAATAGATTGACTCGATTTCCCACCATGCAGAAAATTTATGCATCTTTTGGGCACACATTTTCAAAATACTATAATAGATTTTGTGCATTTTTGAAATGTGTATTGGCTGCAAAAGTTACTATGCATTTTCAGTGTGTGTGTATATATATATACATACGTAAATCATGGGGTTTTGTATGCCTTTTCATCCTGCAAAATGCATTAGAGTTCTTACAAATGTACAGATATTTGATATGTGGTTTTGCTTGGTTCAATTAGCAGATACAAAATGTGTATTTCCATACAGAAATTCCAATTTAATACATTTCTATCCCTAATTTATATTCCTTATGTGTTTAAATGCATTTTGCTATCTACTGACAGCTTTTGCAGAGAGGAGTGGTCTGGGTGTTGGAGATTAAAGACTTTAAAGGTTTAGACCAACATTTAGAGTTGTGCCTGGACACTAACTAGAAGTTAATGTAGTGATTCCCAATTTTGCTATGTCTTGCATGTTGCTTGAGATTCAGAATGAACTATAGTCAGCCCTCTACATTCGGTGGGGTTAAGGAAAAAGGACTGCTGGGAAAGTGTGAAAAAATCTCATGAATTTTTCAAAATAGGGTTTGTTTGCTTTTTGAAATAATAACAATAAAACTTTATTTATATACCGCTCTATCTCCCCAAGGGGGACTGAGGGTAGTTTCCAAGCAACATCACCAAAACATACAGAGTAAACAGCATAACATAAAATTAATAAAACAACAAAAGCATAAAATTATCACAATAACACATAGATATTAAAAATAATCCTGCCTGTTCAGAGCAATTAAAAGACCGGGCCGAGGCTAGTGCAAACTCAAAATATGAGGGGACCAGGAATTAAGTACAGTGCTATAACAGGCTAACAGCAATAGCAGGTACAGGTCTGTGGCTGCTCATTTCCAGGGCCTATTAGAGGGATGACCAGGGTAATAGATAGGAAGTATGAGGCCATATTCAACAATGTTTGGGGCTGGGCTAGAACTGGTCCTTCTTAAAGGCTTGTTGAAACCACCAGGTCTTCAAGCTCTTATGAAAGGAGGGGAGGGATGGGGCCTGTCTTATTTCCCTTGGAAGGGTGTTCCAGAGGCGGGCGGGGGCACCACCAAGAAGGCCCCCTCTCTTGTCCCCATGAACTGTACTTGTGACGTTGGTAAGAGCGAAAGGAGGGCCTCCCCGGAAGACCGTAGAGTTCGCGTCGGTTTATAGATGGAGATGCGATCGCGAAGATAGGCGGGGCCTAAACCGTTTAGGGCTTTATAGGTCATAACCTGCACCTTGAATTTTTTACATTGAAGGAGCACTTCTTTTAGAATCTCTGGATTCTCCAGTGTGATTCTATGGTGAAATTCCAGAGGAAATTGATCATAGAGTCACACTGGAGGACCTCGAGATTCCTAAAGAGACCATATTAATCAAATCCGTGAACAACCAAGTACACAGAAGCTAAACCTGTAAATTAGGAGGGCCAACTGTATGAACAACTAAGGCAGTGGTTCTCAACCTGGGGTCCCCAGATGTTTTTGGCCTTCAACTCCCAGAAATCCTAACAGCTGGTAAACTGGCTGGGATTTCTGGGAGTTGTAGGCCAAAAACATCTGGGGACCCCAGGTTAAGAACCACTGAACTAAGGGTTAGAAAAGTGGTTCTCAGTCTGTGGGTCCCCAGATGTTTTGGCCTTCAACTCCCAGGAATCCTAACAGCTGGTAATTGGCTGGGATTTCTGGGAGTTGTAGGCTAAAACACCTGGGGACCCACAGGTTGAGAATCACTGCTGTATAGTCTCACTTATCCAACATAAATGGGCCGACAGAACATTGGATAAGCAAGAGATTAAGAAAAAGCCTATTAAACACCAAATTACATTATGATTTTACAAATTAAGCACCAAAACATCATGTTTTACAACAAATCGACAGAAAAGCAGTTCAATAAATGGTAACGTTATGTAGTAATTACTGCATTTACGAATTTAGCACCAAAACATTGCAATGTATTGAAATAGCTGTGGATCTGGGTGGGAGACAGACTGCGTTAGATAATACAGAAGGTTAAATGAGTGAAGGTTCGATAAGCAAGATTCTACTGTGTGTATACACACACACACACACATGAAAATTATTATTGGTCATCAGAATCAAGAGTGCACCTATTGACTGAATGGTGTAGAGGTCATTCGAAATGAGCATAGCAGGGCAAGTACAAAACTAATCACAATTAGATTACCTTTTGCTGGTTCCTGCAATTGAGTTCCCATTTCCTCAAGTGGAATAGCAGTAGTTCCTTCTTTCTCGTTCTCAGCCATCTCCTAATTACACTTGCTCTTCGAGTTGGTAGCTGCAGAAGGTCTTGTCTTTACTTTTAAGTTAAAGGGAAGATGACAGTAAATCATAAGATGAAGAGTTATGCCATAGCTCAATTATATATTAAATATGTGTAGCCTTGCTGCTATTTATCATTATAGTTCTATTCTGCCTTCCAACCAAGGGGAAATTGGTTCACAAAGAGATTTGGAATAAGATTGATTGGTTTTGTGGAGAAACTCATGTAAATATGCTTTTTAATTTATTTTAGATAGTAATTAAAAGGGTTACTCATGATTGTGCAAATAAGCCAGGATTCTACTCCAAGTCACCTTATCCTCAACAGCCCTGTAGACTCAGTGCACATCTATACAGTAGAATTAATGCAACTTGACACAACGTTAACTGCCAAGGCTCAATGATATGGAATCCTGGGTGAGACACTAGCCTTCTTTGATAGAGAAGGCTAAAGATCTTGTAAAACTACAATTCCAAGATTCCATAACAGTGAGCCTTGGTACTTAAAGTGGTATCAAATTGCATTCATGCTACATTGTAGATACACCCTAAGTGCCTTGATGGAGAGCAATAATACGATCTTCCAAGACCTCCGGAATATTTCTGTGATGTTCTGGAAGACATCTCATCTCATCTCATCTCATCTCTGTGCATCCACCTACAAGCATTTAGTTGGGCACTTCTTCGGGGCAACTTCCCCACATTGTCTTGTTGTTGTTCATTCGTTCAGTCGTCTCCTACTCTTCGTGACCTCATGGACCATCCCACGCCAGAGCTCCCTGTCGGCGGTCACCACCCCCAGCTCCTTCAAGGTCAGTCCAGTCACTTCAAGGATGCCATCCATCCATCTTGCCCTTGGTTGGCTCCTCTTCCTTTTACCTTCCACTTTCCCCAGCATAATTGTCTTCTCTAGGCTTTGCTGTCTCCTCATGATGTGGCCAAAGGACTTCAGCTTTGTCTCTAGTATCCTTCCCTCCAATGAGCAGTCGGGCTTTATTTCCTGGAGGATGGACTGGTTGGATCTTCTTGCAGTCCAAGGCACTCTCAGAACTTTCCTCCAACACCACATTGTCTATGAGCCAGTAAATAGATGCATGCGGTTTGCAGCTATGTAAATATATCTTCAAGTCGCCTATTGATTTATGGCAACCTCATGAATATCATAGAGTGTTTATAATCAAGTAATCCTCAGAGGTGTCATTATGCCTTCATCTAAAATATAGACAACAACAGCTGATATTCTTTGGCACTCTCGCATCTAAGCACTAACCAGGGCTGACCCTCCTTCCCCTCCAGACAGGATATTTAAATAAAGTTTTAGGGAGAGTTTTGACATTATGCAAAGGAGAATGACAAAGAGAGGAAGAGAGGAAAAATGAGTGTGTCATATGGATGCCTGCCATAACTAAACGGTTCAGGAACTGCCTATCTTCGGGATTGCATTTTCCCCTACGAACCAGCATGTACTTTAAGATAATCCGGGGAGACTCTGCTCTCGCTTCCACTGCCGTCTCAAGTGCGGTTGGTGGGGATGAGGGACAGGGCCTTCTCGGTGGTGGCTCCTCAGCTTTGGAACTCTCTACCTAAGGAGATCAGATTGACATGTACTCTATCTGTTTTCCGCAAGGAGTTAAAAACCTGGATGCTCCATTGTGCATTTGATTAATCAGTTTCCTCTGAGAATTGGTTCGATCTCGCCATAGTTTCTTGTACTTTAGTTGGCCTCCTACCTGTAATCCTGACACTTTAAATGGCTAAGGACATTACCCTCCTAGCTGGACCTTACTGAATTTGAATTGAATCTTGCACTTTCCCTTGGCTCTATTTAGAAACCATTGCACATACCCTGAGCCCTCCGCACTCAGCACTTAATCTTTCAGCCATGGCACTGTTTTAAAAATGTGTGTTGTGATTGTGAAATGTTTTTTTTCCTGATGTTTGTTGTTGATTTTATTGTGTGTGTTTTAATCTGTATTTTTTTGGCTTGTCCCCTTGTAAGACACACCGAGTCCTTTCAGGGAGATGGTGGTGGGGTATAAAAATAAAGTTGTTGTTTTTTTTGTTGTTGTTGTTCTTATTATTATCTGACTTTGTAATAGTAACAGCATTGTTTAACGATTACTGGAAAAAATGAAAAATTACAACAAGAAAATGCAAATGTGGTAAGAAGTAAATGACTTAACGGCCACCAGGATACCAAGATCTGCCTCTCAATGCCAGTTAGTTCACTTGCTAATAAGACCACATTATGGAACAGAACTAATCAAGGAACTACATTATTCTTAGAAGAAGAAAGTCTTACCTTTTAATAATCTTGGTCAAATCCTGTCCTCCTCTTGTCAAATATGGAGTTATGTATATCTGTGTGCATTTTCTTCATGGCCTGATGTACGTTCTTCTAACTTTTCAGACTTTTGCTTCCCATTTAAGTTTCATGTTTAAGACTCTTGGACAGTTATTTCCTTAGTTTCGGAAAGCAAGTAGCCACACCTGCTGCATCTTACCAAGGGTTTAATCATAGGCTACACAATTTGCTTTCAACATCACCTCTGCACCTGTCCCTCAAAAGGGCAAGCCTTTCCATTTCGACTGTTGACTGAGAGAAACCAGAGAAGGAAGTATAGCCGTAATAACAAACACACAAATGAATTCATTATTCAGATGTCCTAATCTTAGCTACTCTGAGTACATCAAGTCTACTTTACAAAAAAAAACCTGGTAGGTTAGCCTTGCTGTTGGCCAAGCAGGTGTGGAGGACACTATTTTCTGTAGGCGAGAGACAGTGCCCTTGGTAAACAAAGGAATTTGCAGGTTGGACGAAGTGAGAAAAAGGAGGGAAAGACTATTGGTTGCAAAAGTCAATGTTGTGGGTGGACAATAGTGGGTTATTTGGGCTTAGGGATACCAAGAGGAGCAAGAAAAGAGGCCTGGTTGGTTATATCGCTAGGCAATGGCATACAATGGGCGGGGGAGGAAGGAAATGTATATCTTTGTACAAGCCTGTGCAGGACCTCAGATCATCAAGAGAGGCATTTTTTTATCAGCCCCGTCATCTTCATAACACATGAGAGAAAGCCCCTAGGCTCTGGATAGCTCTTCCTGCCAATGCACAACTCCCATGTTACATCAGCTCCACCGGCTGCCTGTTTGCTATCGGGCACAATTCAAAGTGCTGCTTTGGCCTATAAAGCCCCAAATGGCCCTGGACCAGTTTACCTGTTCAAACACATCTCCCTTTACGAACCACTGCAAAGACTAAGATCTTCTGGGGAGGCCCTGCTCTTGGTCCCACCAACATCATAGGCACGTTTGGCGTGCCCCCCGGTTATGGAACTCCCTTCCTGGCGATATTAGATCAGCTCCCTCCTGGTTGGTGAAGACCTGGCTGTGGGACCAAGCCTTTGGGGCAGTGCAATGAGGCAATAATAGAATGGTGTCCTGAGATGGTTTCTAAGCAACTGATTTTAAGGTGGATATAAGTGATTTTAATGTTTGTATATATTTATGGTTTTAGATCCCAGCATTGAATGTTTGCCTTATATATGTTGTACTCTGCCCTGAGTCCCCTGCAGGGTGACAAGGGTGAAATAGAAATGTTTTAAATAAAGAAATAATACTAGAATGCCCCCAATTGCAATGCTTCCATTAACTAGTAAATCCTTTAAAAAATAAAAATAAAAATCTGACAGGCTTTTAAAAATAGAAAGTTTTCAAAGAAGGGGATTTTGTACTGTCTTTATTGTTTTAACAGTACTGTTCATTTACACTGCTTTTAGTTACAGTAGAGTCTTGCTTATCCAACCTTTGCTCATCCAACGTTCTGTATTATCCAACGCAGTCTGCCTCCCGCATGGATCCAAAGCTGTTTCAATACACTGAGATTTTTGGGTGATCAATTTGTAAATACAGTAATTACTACACAACATTACTATGTACTGAACTGCTTTTTCTGTTGATTTGTTGTAAAATCATAACGTAATGTGACGTTTAATAGGCTTTTCCTTTATTCCTCCTTATTATCCAACATTCTTGCTTATCCAATGTTCTGCTGGCTCATTTATGTTGGATAAGCGAGGCTCTGCTGTACAGTACAAACCCATGTATCCACGGGGGATATATTCCTGAACTTACCATGGAATTAGGAAACCATGGATAAAAGTTAACCCAATTGAAAAGAATCACATCTATTGGAAATTACAAAAAGAACTGCACTGGAGGACCTAGAACATTCCTAGAGAGATACCCACTAGAGAGATACCCACTCTAGGAATTTGTTAGGTTCTCCAACATGATTGCATGTTAGGTTCTGGTGGAAGCATACTAAAGAATTGGCAGAACATCCTATAAAATTCTATAAGATTAAATATGTTGACACTGTTAGGGGTAACCACATGTATTGGTCCCATAGGTACAGAGGTTATACTGTACTGTACCCCCCCTCGATGGACTGTCACCTTGTCGTGGTGAGGGGGCTTGCGCGTTCCGATGAACCTGTAGGCACAA